AGGTCTTGTCAGATAGTATAAGAGATTGATGAAGTGTTATTATCTCAATTGAGTAGAAGTCTACTACATCTTATCGAAAGAGAGCCTTTTCTACCAAACTAATGAATAGCAGATTTTTACTGTACTTTAAAATGCTTGTTCAAAACAAGTTCAAGACCAGATACAAGCCATCTTGACTAGATTTTTTTGTGACCTCGTTTTGGATCTCTACCTTCACCAAACCTATCCTTACATGTCAATAAAAGATGAAAAATGACATATGTACAGCTGCACTGTGTTTTGTGGAACAAGAGTATATAATTCGAATTGATTCTGGTCGCTACTGTCTTGAAAACATATAAGTTACAAGACTAACCACTTTTCAAAGTTCTATGAAAACAGTCAAAATCCACCCAAACCTATGGGATCTATATCGCTCCAATGATAGGATCCGAGACTCTATTTGTTTTACTGTAAGTACAATTCATCGATGTCTACAAGATGAGCTATATATTTGTCAATATACAGACCTCATGCGTATTATGTAAATCATGTTGCATGAAAAAACCACAATATATTTATCCCCTTAGATAAGAATAAGCGACATCTAAGTTTTTTCAATTAATTCTTCACATTAGTATCGTTTAGAATGATAATTATACCATAAATACATGTCTCATAATTCATGAAAAGCTACAGTTCTTTGTTGAAACTGGTTGTGATTCATCAAAACAGTTTTTGACAACATTTCTCTTATGAATATTATCTATGAACACTCATTTATAAGTAGGAAAAATACCAGCACATTTGATCATATTATGATGAAGATATTCGATTGTTTTTCTTGTTTCGTAAGAGTGTGGATGTTGGTGTGTCTGTAAGTGAGGAGAAGAGAACATAGATACCCACTCCTCACACTCTTTAAATGTCTGTTACAGTCTATGAGCTAATGGAAAGACTAAGATGCTTCTTTCTCACTGTCTTTCTACATTCTCTTTAACATATTGCAATGAAAATCTTCTTTCATCACGGACACATATTGACAGTATGTGCTAATTCAAAAAAAGAGAAGATATATTACTAAATTCTTTCAATTACAATGTAAATAATTTCATCATGTTTCATAATTTGATCCCACAGGATATAATGCTAGCAGCTTCCCTTTGGTAGAGAAAACATTGTTTTAAACGTACATTAATACTGTATTTCTTTCATCTGCAAATTAGCACTAGTATTTATTTGATGAGTGCATAAAAGAGAAATGTTTGTGATATATTGAACAGAAAAAAAAGTGATAATACCATATGTAAACAATCTTTAATAAGTCCACTTGTTAAACAGCTAAAACAAAAATTTGATCGAATGACAGTAAATAATACAACAAATGATAATCCGAGAAATCCATCACACTTTCAATCTGGTGGTAAAAAAACTTCATCGAGTAAGCAAGAATACAAAAAGATTTGAAATAATATTTTTCTATCTCATACAGGTTGCTAGCCTTACTTGTCAAGGATTAACAGCTATTACTAGTGAATGTTTAATCTCAAAAACCACGTCCAATGTTACAGCTTATCCACGTAATGCGTCGCCTCAGGCATTAAGTATTTATCTCAAAATTCGAAATAAACGTTTATAGTACATTGTCGAGCACATTTGAAAGTGTAAGAAAGTATATTTTGTTATTCGAAAAATTATTTCTATGAGTGTTTAAAGACGTATACACTAAGTACTTATTGTCATATTGTCCATTGCAGTTTTTTTTGTCTTACTTTGAAAGTACAATCTTTCTGCTGGCACAAGAATAAACTTTTGTCCTTTCCTCCATGTTGAGATATTTTCAAAATAAAATTTAATCAATATCGCTGTAACAACATTACAGAAAGACCATATTTTAAAACTCTGATGAGTCACTTACGAAACACCAGTAAACAAACCAGTGGATCATAATTAACTTTTCACGTCGATTCTGAGGCACTACTTTTTTTCTCAAACATATTGCATTTTGAGATAGATAATCGTAACGCTGTTACGAAAACCTAATTTTTGGTAACTTAAGGTTGACCAAAAATTCTGATAACGCTGAATAAAAATAAAAAAAATGAAGAGATATCTTTAATTTTTATTCTATCAAATGTTCAGAATAGTTGCCATAATTACTTACATACACCAAGTTCGATACTTTCTCGTAATTTGTTAAAAGTTTGTTTGAGCTCTTTTTCTAAAATATTTTTTATTCCCTTGAAAATCGCATGAGCTGATCATGTTTTATTTTTCTGTTCGATTTCAAGAATTTGTCTAAAAAGTTGGCAATTTTTTCAAAGATCATATCTGTAGTGTCCCGGTACTTCTATTGATGAGGTATAGATTTATTTTAGATAGGCTGGTCGCAAGTCATGTGACCCTAGCTGGACTAATGTATATGAATCTTCAAAGACTATTGTTCATGGAGACACATTTGAACAAACAGTTGTTTTGTATATTCTTTGAATAAAATTGTCCTGTTCTTATACATAGTACAGATAAGGACAAGACTGTAAATCAAAAGTATTATATCAAACATTGCTTCAAGCGTCTCTGTCAATGAAATAGAAACATAGATAGTCATTAGATACAAAAGTTTTAAAATTCCTTGACGATAATATTCTACCTTGTACTCATTCAAATGTTATTACTTATTCAATAGAAGAAGGTATCAGTATAATGTCACATTAGCTGTAAACACTAGTCCTTGCACTATATAATTTTTTGGCTAAATGATTATATCAAGAGTAGTTAAAACTGCCCTAGCAAATTAAACATGATTAGTTCATGCAGTTTTCAAGGGAATACAAAGTATTTTAAAAAAAAGAACTTAAACAAATTTTTAACAAAGTATTAGATAGTATCGAACTTGGTATAAGTAATTATGGCAACTATTCTGAACGTTTGATAGAATAAAACTAAAAATGTTTCTTTATCTTTTTGATTTTTATTCAGCGTTTATCAGAACTTTTGGTCAACTCCAAGTATTTGCAAAGACATTGTCAGTATGGCAATTAGATTGAAATTTTGCGAACTACTTTCAACAGGGAAGAATATACCTTTAGGTGAAGAACGAAAACGAGGACGACCACAAAAAGCAACAAAAAGTTTATTAATACAATAGCTGAGTAATTAGATTTTTTACTTGTATATTTATAGCTTTTTACTTAATAAAATTTGTTTGTTTATCAAGACATATGTAAAATTTCGCTTAAAAAATCAATTTTTTTTCACTTAGACTTTAAATAAAATACTTAGCAAAAATTTTTTTTCTACTTAGGATTTTTTTATTAATTTACTTAGAAGAACAAGAATTTTTTACTTAGTATTTAGTAAAAAATACTTGCCATATAAATCAGAGTTGTATTAGATCAGTAGGATATATTTTTATTGTTCGTCAGAGAAAAAAAAATGAGTGTGATAACGTCTTGGTGTTACTATTTCCGACGATGACGTATATCAGAAACAACTTGTTTGCTTAAGATTAGAAGAAAAAAAATTCTCTCCTTGGTGATAACGCTTCTTTTCTACATATTACCTCAGATCATCGTTATACTTATATCAAAGGAAAAAAAGAAGTTATCTGTGTGTATTTAGGATGGACTTTTTTTCTTTCTTCTTGTAGACGACAACATTAGGAAATTACACTCGAACAGTCGTTTTCTGGCTTTCTTATCGCATCAATAATAACAATAACAACTATCGTTTGCGTATGTAAGGTATATAATTTAATGGACATATTAAGGAAAAGAAAATGAAAAATTAATGAATCTTTCTTTTTTTGAATCGGATGATGCTAAATATATCTACTAGATACTTTATGAAACTCATCGTCTTACAGCAGGAGTTTATGCGTACTTCGTATTTACTGTTAGCTTTGCATCAGTAGCTGATGACTTTTTGCATTAGATGCAATTGAGAACTCCGTTAATATTTCAGATAACAATTGAAAATTTTTTATATAATGACAAATCTTAGTCAAAATAATTTTAGATATCATTTGATTTCATATCTTGATGATGGATAGATTTTAATAAAACTAAAGAAAGCCTAGAAAAATTCTTGTCTATGACATTGTTGAATTAGGATCTGATGTCTTTTATATCAAAAATATCTTTTTTCTTTTGTTATCTAAGGAATTGAGATTTAAAAAAATTCTCAAAATATACAATCCTGTTTCGTTTTGCCTTTTCTGCATCATCCACGAGCAGCAATAGAAAAGTGCGCGCATAGTTTTGTTTTTTCTTTTATCAGTCAGAATATCAATAGTGAAAAGTGATCACAAGTAGTGAGAACGAAAACAATTTTTCTGTATGTTACTCTTCATATTTTCGTTCTTTATCGTAAGTATAGAAGGTTCCAGTCAAAATATCTCATAAAAACAAAGTAGTAATGAACTGGCTTTTGTAAGAAAGTTGACTTCTCTTTTATGCATTAAAAGTACGATTTTCGGGTGAACATCAATACTTACTTATAAATGAAGAGCGTTGACTTCTTTTTTGAACAGACACCTTCAAACTCTGAATGAACAAGGTCAATTCAATTTCTCGAATAGGACAGTCTAAAAAGTCCGTTGTAATACCAATTGTACTGAATTTTCGTATTCGTTGTGCTCGCATCATTACAGATGACACATTATGAGAAATTGGTAGACACCGATGTTGGCCAAAATACATAATCGACTTGCATCTAATATGTTGCATATAGCTTTGTGTCCGTGGTATATACATGGTTTTTAATAGAAGTTTGAATACATGAAAATGTTCACATATTTAAAATATCTATTTTTTGTCTTTTATTTCAGTTTTTTTCTATATTTGATTGTAAATTGAACAATTATTCATAAACCACAAGCAGAAATTGGGGAAAATAGCTATTACTATTTCATCACGACAGAATGCAACGGAACAATAAGAATACCATCTATCTTTTCGTTTTCGCACTCTTCCACTTTTTGACATCGATTAAAAGTGAAAATTCTACTGTACTCAATTCAGAATATCCATGGTTACGTCTTCCACCCACACCTCAACTTCCTTATCCTCATCATGGTCAATATGCACAGATCAATAATATCAGCATATGGTATACTATTTATGGACCAGAAAATGGTGCGCCTGTTCTTTTTCTTCATGGCGGACTTTCAAATAGTGACTACTGGGGTCTACAAGTTCAACAACTTCAAAGTACTTACAAATGTATTCTAATGGACTCTCGAGCACAAGGTCGAAGTTCATCATCGTCTGCCAATATTACATACGATTTGATGACTTCAGATGTTGTTAGTCTACTTGATTATCTTGGTCTAAGCAAGGTTCATCTTGTTGGCTGGAGTG